TGGAACGAAAAGAAATAAGAGAGCAACGAAAATTTATAATGATTGATCTTGACTTAGATGAAGGTGATATGCTTTTAGAGATTTCATCTTTAGACAACAACTTAGAAAGTTGGAATACAATCTACCTATCATAATTGATAATGACGACTTGTCAAAAGGATTACATATCAACAAGGGTGGAGCCCAGTTAAGTCCAGTGCGGGCAAATGTCCACATTATATATATATATATATATATACACACACTTTCCCCTTGCCTCCAGGAAAACCATAACATAATCATGTTGTTTTACATAAGATTTCTAAAACTTCATTGTTTATAGGTCAATTTGTTTTAATGGATTCTTTTGGGGAGGAGCGGGAGAGGGGGGGGGGGTTGGTCCTAGTCATTTTAAGTTATGTATCAGTGTGGGCAGCTTTCTTTGCAATTCTTTTTTCTTCTTTTGTCCTTTAGTACCTCTTTTTGGTGCTTTGTCTGAAAAGAAATATGGTTTTAGAGGAGTAGGGAAGAGATTCATGAATTAATTTGCTTCAGGAAGTCAGCCTGATTTATTTGTGGGTTTGAGGATCTTAAATTGTTGTGTTCCTTCAAGCTATCAAATACTTTGTTCGTTCTTTCTTCCTAACTCGCCCTTTCTTTCAACTTCTCATATGGCTAAATAATTTTCTTTGGTCTGGAATGATCAGACAAGATCCAAGAGATTTTTGGAAATCCAAAAATTGAGAGAAAACAAAATGGAGTATGACTTGAAAACTGCAATATCATTGCTCAAGCAATCAGCCAGCACAAGGTTTGTTGAAACAGCTGAAGCCCATTTCCGCCTCAATATTGATCCGAAATATAATGATCAACAACTGAGGGCAACTGTAAGTTTCTTGACATTACTTGGTAAAATGTGTTTCAAACTAGTTTTAGCTGTTTCATAGTAGGATGAATTTTTCTTTGTTGTAGGTTAATTTGCCGAAGGGGACCGGTCAGACTGTTAAAATTGCTGTTCTTACACAAGGTAATTCATTTTCCTTATGGTACTATATATTTCTGTCCAGCTTATGATGTGTGAGTCCTTTTTTTTGGTAGAAGATGTTCCGTACATTTATAGATCTTTATCAGTTCCAAAATTGACATTCCTCTGCAGACGAGAGCATGTCATACTTATTCAAAGTGCTAGGAATAGAAGATTACAATAGACATTGCAGACATCCATTTCAACCGGCCCAATGAATGAGACTTCAATTGATGGAAAGAGAGTGCTGACCCTAAGCACTCTCCCAAAAGCCACTCAAGGCTCCGTCATATCAAGAATTCATCAGCCATTTATTCTCGTCTTTAAAAAAATACTGTATTTACAGATACAATTTAAATGGTTGCACATCAAACTTATCTATTGGAAAAATCAGCTGCAAGTCTTGTTTAACTATCATAATAAATTTTATCCATATAAAAATAGTTCTAACTTTTAATGTATCTACATTGTCCATGCAATATAATCTACTTGAAAGAGAAATGAAGAGGAAATTTTTTTTGAGGGGCTAACTTGTTCATGTGTCAAGTATTAATTCATGTAGAATAATACACAATTGAATTCAATAACCAAATTATCCGTTGCTTGACTACAAACTATAGAAATTTCCTCTTGAAAAGTGATTACGCTGGGTCAAGGAGAAAAAGTTTTATTTACTAAGACTACATGTTACGATAAACAATACAGATAAATATTTAGTTTTCTAAACATGCATGAATTATTGGGAGATATTGTAAAATATGCATAGGATTAATAGTTCAGAAAAAAATTATCTCTTCTGTATGGATGTCTGTAAAACCGAAGGACAATAAAAATAGGGATGAAGTCTGTTTATTGATGGAAAAGTATTGCATTTCTTTTGCTTCTTGAATTTGTGTCAAATATTCGGCTGCAGCATATATTATGAGGTTAGTTAGAGATATTATGCGAGCCCAGCCCTAACCCTTAGGTATATCTCTTGCTGGAAATAACCCTATCCCATTATTAACGAGTGGGTCATGGAAAGTTGGTAGGCCAGCTCTGCCATCCCCTACTCTCGCTTACTCCTTGTGTAGCCTTTAGTCCCTTAGCATTAATAGTTTTTGATCCCTTATTCATTTTGTTTCAAATTATCTCAAAGACAATTAATTCATCTATTTAGCCTCATTGTTGTATAGTTGAATTTCTGTAGGTGAAAAGTTCGATGAGGCAAAAAATGCTGGAGCTGATCTTGTTGGTGGGGAAGACTTGATAGCACAGATAAAAGGAGGATTCATGGATTTTGACAAATTAATTGCGACACCGGATATGATGCCTAAGGTATCATTCTACTAGTCACATCATGATTAATTACATGGATTGTTGCCTCACATTGTTTATTTCCTCTCCATATTAGAATATCCTCATTCTCTTCTGGTTGGGGGAAAAAATACACACACACATATATATATGGCCCTGGGGACAATAGATATAAAAGAAATAGAGTATAAAAACGCCTTAAAAGAAGAAATAATAGATTTATTATTTGGAAAACTATTGAAGTTACAGAATTAATATTGATAATACAAGATTGAAAAAAAAAAATTAAAAACTTTAAGATATAAGGTTTTAAAACTTTCTTGAAAATGTTCTCTCTTCTCCAAAAAAAACTTTTATTCAAGTCTTGAAGCTAGGTCTCCTTTTATACTTGAGACTTCGGACTTGAAAAATTCTTGAACTTGGTTGAGGAATCTTTGAAGGACAATAATCACCATAATATGTGTCCTTGTAATCGTCCTTCGTCTGCCATTGATTTTGGGATTTTTGTTTTCTCCCAGATGAAGGAATCTACTTTAATAAAGTTACTTTATTAAAGTTCTGTCCACCTTTGATTGTCGGTAGTGATGACAAGAATAACTTTTGAGGTGACAAATACATTTGAAAAAGTACATTTTTTTAATTATAAACCCTATATTTCCTATATTCTTCCAGTTAACTGGAACCTTATGGTCATTTTGAATGCTTTTGAGTTTCTTGGGCAGTCAGTTCATTAATATCTAGTTCGTAGCAATCGTCCTTATTGCTTTGAGCATAGGTCTGTCTATGAGCCTGATTGAGAAGAATCATCAGCTGATTTCGATTTCCTCGATGAGACTTTAGCTAAATTGGCAATTTTTTTGAGAGATAATTGCCAGTTCTTCCAGAGTTTAGCATTGATTGAGCATGGCCAGAACCTTGAATTCTCGATGAGAAAATCAGCATTTTTTTATCCCTTTTAGAAATCTTTGGGATGTCGATATTTTTTCGTTCTTGAATCTATGAGTTAACAGCTTTGGGGCAGTAGTTTGTCTCATGAAACTTTGACCACCATTTAATTTTGAATCTCCAAATAATATTTTTGACATTGAATTCAAAGATTGTATTTTCAATGATGTAGAAATCTCAGCAGAAAACCCACAAGACTGAGATTTAGTTCAAATTGAAACAAAAGATTTTATTGAAGATATAAAATTGTTTTTGCCTCATTTTTGAAGCGTTCGAATCAAGTTCGAAACCATTTTGGATACTTGTAGGACAAGCCTAATGGAAAAGAACAAACTAGGAGTATGTCACTGGTCTAAAATAAAAAATATTAAACCAGGCGTCCTTGTAGTCTATATAATTGAAACAACTCGAATGTATCATCTTTTGATAATTTCATTTACTTTTCTTCCCATGGGTATTGTCCCAGTTTTCATAAGACAAAACTCTTTGAATTAAAATTTTGGAAAAATCAATTTGCTTTGAATTCTTAGGATTGGAGTATGAGTTATTATGGCCGATCCCGATTTAGGGCCCGTTTGGGATGGTTTTTGAAAAGCCAAAAGGAGCTTTTGAGAGCCAAAAGTCGTTTTTGGACCGTTTGGCTATTTTTGTTTAAAGTGCTTTTGGAGGTTAGAAGAGCTTTTAGAGGAAGTTGGTTTTTTTGGCTTCCTCCAAAAGCACTTCCGGAATGGGAAGTGTTTTAAATATTAATTTTCAAACAAAAATTAAAATAGCTTTCTCCAAAAGCTCTTCTACAAGAAGCAAAAGCCAAAATAAAAGCCGTGCCAAACAGGCCCTTAATTGGGATAGCTTCATAATAAGCTGGTTTTTGGGCAAGAAATGGAATTGTGAAGGAAAAATGTCTTTAAGACATTCATTAAAAGATGAATATCTATGAGTCCATGATGTTTCCATTTCAAAAACTGGGTATTGAATAGGTTTGATAAGGTAATGAAAGGATTTTTTAGGGTTGATATTTGATAATTTTCCATATCCAGTTAAAACAGCTTTCTTGAAATTTGAAGGTTTTACTTTTCTGGAATCTTTTTTGCTTTGAGAAGTATTTTGGAAGGGATTTCTTGAAGCAAGGGTAGTTTTTGGAGAAGTAGAGGAGGATTCATGAGAATTTTGAATATAACCTTCTATTGAGAGCAGGGGAATATATGACTTTTTCTTATTCTTCTTTGAGCAAGAAGAATCCATTTTGACATCTCACCAAAAATTCACTCAAGAAATTTTTGTTTGCAGAAACTCTCTTGTTAAGAAATCTGCAAGATAGTTGGATATACCTTGTATATATAGAATTTTGAAATCAAAACATGATAAGATGGCTTGCTATCTTGCAAAACTTTGTTTGGAAACAAGATATTTTACGTCCTTTTGCAAAAAGTCTTTTAAAGCTTTTCAATCTATTTTTTTTCTTTTTTAAAGTTCTTTATTGATTAAATCATTTTAAATTTTGAAATGCATAATACAATTGATAATTTTTTTATTTATTTTTAATAGTTGAATAATTCTTGCAAGTTCAAACACTGAAATGGAATCTAATCGGCTGTTCTTGATTAGATTGCTTTGAAATCTGATTTAGAACCCCACCATATCTTATGTCTGATGCATCTGTTTCAACAACAATGGATGCAAAAGGTCTATAATTGAAAGATGTGGAATTCTATTGATAGCATCTTTAACTTTTTGTACAGCCAAAGTATGCTCATGACTCCATGATACAGGGTGCTTTTGAAGCCTTTGAAAAAGTGGAACACATATTAGCTCTATATTTTTTACAAAGTCTGACACATAATTGACAACCTAAAAATTACTGTAAGCTAGACTTGTCTAAGATTTCATCAGGAAATTTGTTGGCAATATCTAGACTTCTTTGAATTGTGGTAATAGTTCGTAGATGAATGCAAGGAAGAGAAATAATATGTAAGTTATTCGTGCCTGCACTTCCGAGTACCAACAGTCAAAGTGGACAAAACTTTAATAAAGTAACTTTATTAAAGGAGATTCTTTCAATTGGGGGAAGAAAAAAACTCTAAAATCAATGGCAGACAAAAGACAATCACAAGGACACATTATGATGATTATTGTCATTCAAAGATTCCTCAACCAAGTTCAAGATTTTTTCTAGTCTGAAGTCTCAAGTATAAAAGGAGACCTAGCTTCAAGCTTGAATAAGAGTTTTTTTTTTTTTTTGCTGAGAAGACGGAACATCTTCAAGAGAGTTTAAAAACCTTGTATCTTAAAGTTTTTAAAATTTTTTTCCAATCTTGTATTAACAATATTAATTTTGTAACTTCAATATTAGTTTTTTAAATAATATATCTATTATTTCTTTACCTTGGTGGTCTGAAACATGGAGCCGTTGTCTCTGTTAAGTCTGAAAATCTGTTACATTTTCTGTCATATTAACCGATCCTGGAACGCTATATGCTTTCTGTGACTCTCTTTGCAAAATCGACCATTTTATAGCTAGCAGACCTATTTTCATTGTTTGGCATGTGCTATAAGATTTTAGTCTTCAACAAAAACTGGAAATCGAGCACCTTCCAGTAACACTTTGATGTTAATGACTGACTTTTTAAGTAAGAGACCCCCCCCCCCCCCCCCCCCCCCCCCCAACCCCCCCAAAAAAAAAGAAAAAAGAAAAAAAGAAAACGCACACACACATACATGGTACCTGAGATATATTTGTTACTGAAATCTGCAGTTATTTGTTGGCTGTATAGTGATCTTTGCTAGTACCCATTTTCGGCTCTAGATCACATATTCCCTTTTATTACTTCCATCAGGTTGCGAGCCTTGGAAAAATTTTAGGTCCACGAGGACTAATGCCAAATCCAAAAGCTGGAACTGTAACTACAAACATACCGCAGGTACAGCATCATTTCTTTTATTAGTTTATGTTTTTCTGTTGACATCTAAATTTCAGAATCTATGGCATTTTTTGCTAAAATTTGACTGCTGTATTGAAAGAGTATGCAAAACATTTGTTTACAATGAGTATATTCATTATCCTTGTGCCAATGAAAGCATTTTCCTTTCATTTTCTAGGTCTCTAGTATTATGAATTCTGTTGGAGTAAGCTCTCTTGAGTTCTTTATATAGCTGACAAGATTTTGAATGCAGGCTATTGAGGAATTTAAGAAGGGGAAGGTAGAATATAGAGCTGATAAAACTGGGATTGTTCACTTGCCTTTTGGGAAGGTTGATTTTTCAGAGGAAGATCTTATTATAAACTTTCTTGCTGCAGTGGTAATATGCAAAATTTAATCATTTTCTTTATCCTATATCTTTTCTCGTGCTCCAACACGGTCCAAATGCATCCCCATAACATGTTTTCTTCGATCACGTTCCAGAAATCAGTTGAAGCAAACAAGCCATCTGGAGCTAAAGGTGTGTACTGGAAAAGTGCTCATATATGCTCATCTATGGGGCCATCAATTCGGTTAAACACAAGAGATATGCTCGACTACAAGCCCCCATTGAGTGCTTAGAATATACAAAGATCTCCTGTAAAATATTTTGGCATTCGATTCTTCAGTGCCCTTACTAGCAGAAGGCACACACAAAAAGGAAGATATCTGAAGTGAGTATTTTTTGTAAGCCTTTTCTGCTAAACTTTGTAACAAAGCTCCAGTTTACTATCGGCCTCTATCTTTTGTAGTTTATGCAATTTTATGCTTCATACAATCAAAATCTAGGATGCATTTCTCGCCTGTCATGTGAAAAATAGATGTGTGAATCGTATGGTGAATTGCAACTTCGGTTTAATGTGTTGGTTTGCTATTGTCATTTGTTTATCCAAATATACAAGTATAACCAAACCTTAAGCGACTTTTTTCTACAGTTGTGAAAGAACAAATTTATTGCAAGTCAAAAAGTGATTTGAGTTTTGAATTGCAATAGCTACTTTTGAGTAAAATTGACCAATGAAATGTCTTAGGTAGTTGTAATAAGTAGAAAAAATTGTTTCTCAATTTGTAAACTTACCGTTCTTGAAAAAAATAAAAGTCTACTTCGGACTTTTGTAAGTTTTGCAATTTACCACTTAAATAAAAATAATTTTCATATCATATGTTTCAAGCTTGGGGATATAGAAGCAATTGGTAAAGGGCATTTTCGTTTTATTTAAAACAGATAAAATAAAACTCCCAAATGTTAAGGTTAATAGTCAACTTTACCAACAAATCTCTTATTTATTATATGCACCCTCCATTGTCAGCCGTTACTGGTTAAACAGATTGCGACTGATAAATCAATAACAAATTCTTAGCAGATTATAACACAACTAAACTCATAACCTATGTCTCTTGAAAAAAAAAAAATAATAATAAATAATTATGTGCATACTCTGTGGGTGTGATACATGCTCTTCCAGCGTAATGAATTCCATATAGTTAGAGCCTAACAGAAACATGGCTATCCTAATATAACATTCTACATCAGCAAAAAATTGATAAAACTATTATGTCTCAAAACTGAGGAATTGTTACTAGCAATTTGGTAATTTTTCAATGGACAAACAAGAAAAATACAAGAGTATAGGATTTTACAAAGAATAGAAAAGGGGAAAATGTGGGTACTATAGAAGAGACAGCTGGAAGTAAAGCAAGGTGAGCCTATTTTTGTGTAATTTATTTATGAGAAGAAAAGATAAATGTAAACATGTTGATAAATAATAAGATAATGAACTATGTATGAGACTGACAAAGAAACACATAATTAATATTTCAACCAATCAAACTATTGGGCTGTGATGCCAAATTAGCTTTTGTGTGTCTAGTCCATTTGGGGCAATGATGATATTCTAAGGTCCAACGGATACTACTCAGCCCATTGCCCAATAACTCAATGTTGAAACTAGCTGAAACCCAGCCCAAACCAATTAAACCATGCAAGTCGGTCTGGATCGTTTGATCAACTTAACCTACAATCTACGGTGACTACCCATTATATATAAACGAGGGCTGAGACTCGTTTGGCCCTAATTCGAGTCATATTCTCTCTGCCTCTTCGTGATTTTTTTCTCGAACCTTCTGGGTCTCTCTCTTCGTGACTGTGTGTCTTCTGCTTCTCCTTCTCTGTGAATCTTGAGATTACGCCATTAAAACTACTGGTTTGTGGCCTCTCTGTGTTCCTACAGTCTGTGTGACTGTTTAGTTGAGCTTTGTTGAGAGTTTCCAGTTCGGACTTGAGTGTTCATTGAAGTGACTGCCTCTGTGTTTTGTGGTTTGGGACTGTGGTTTATGAGTTTCACGTTGTACAGACGGGTACAATGCTAAGATCTGAGCTCTAATCGATGAAATCTTGATGCCTTTGTGTCTGAGAGTTTTTTGTCTTTGTTGAGTCGATCAGGGCATTTTCTTGTAACAGTGGTATCAGAGCCGTTTAGGCCGTTCGAGTCCTTGTCTCTGATTACCGATCGTGAAAAATTAATTTTCACGGTCAGATTTTTGGAAGACGAATAATCAATTGAAACCCTAGATCCGTTCAGCTACGGATCTTGATTCTGTTTGAGGTTTCTTGCATTTTTCGTGATGAACTAACATTGTTTTGGTTTGATCCTGCAGAAATTATTGATTTCGAATTCGTCTGTGTGAACTGGCTTGAAAGATATTAAGCTTCCTGCGTGAACTTCATCTGCCGGTCGATTTCTCTTAACTCATTTAAGCTTTCTTAACTGAAATACATGATTTATTGCTTAGTGTCGAAAAATTTGTGTATTTCTTGAGATGTTGGCATTCTGAAATTTCTTAACTATTGCATATATACTTTGAGTTAAAGTGTTCTGCAAGTGTTTAATCTTTGTGATTAAATTCTAATTTCAATATATAGTCTGTTGGTTAATCTGTGTGATTAATTCTTGATCCCTGTATACTGCAAGTTAATCTTTGTGATTATTAATTGACAATTTTTTGTCTTAAACCCTGTACACTTTGCACTGCACTACTGTGTACTTCGGGTTGAGCCTTGACCTGAGGTCTTTGAGCCTCACGGAATCTTGGTGAACCCAAGACACACCACTGCATACTAAAGTGGTCTTTTTATTCCTCTGATTGGTTACTTTTTTTTTGTTTGTTAAATATTCACTGTGTTATATCCCCTGATAGTTTTCATATTTTGTGTAATATTTTGTGATTGTCATACATTCTGTGGAATATCTTTTTGTTACTTTTCTGTTTTGAACTTTAATCCTAAAAGGTTTTTTTTTCCTAATATTGATTAAAAACTTCAAATGAAAACGGGAATGTTTGAACTTGGAGTTTTTAATGGAAAAAGGGGATTTCCCCATTTGGCAACAAAAGATGAGAGGGGTTCTTGTTCAACAGAAAGTATCTAGAGCTATAACGGGTGAATATCTTGCTACTATGGCTGATGATCAGAAGACTGAATCTGATGATCTTGCCTATACTTCCATTATTCTTCACTTGTCTGATCTAGTATTAAGGAATGTTGGAAAATTGGATAATGCAAAAGCCTTATGGGATAAACTTGAGGAACTTTATTTGATAAAATCATTACCAAATAAACTTTTTCTATTGGAAAATTTTTTTAGCTTCAAAACTGATATGTCCCGAGATTTAGATGATAATCTTGACACTTTTAATAGACTTATACAAGATATAACTAATGCTGGGGATAAAGTATTTGAAGAATATAAGGCTGTAATTTTGTTAAATTCCATACCTGATGTGTATAAAGATGTTAAGACAGCTATTAAGTATGGTAGAGAGTCTTTAACACCTGAGATAGTGATTGATACTTTAAGAAGCAAGGATTTGGAAGTTAGATATGAGAGACATGGCAAGGAAAGTGAGAATCTATTTGTAAGAGGTAGATCACTGTCCAAATCTAGTAATAATCAGGGTAACCAAAATAATCAGGGAAATAATACCTTTAGAAAGAAGGGAAAGGGTAGACAAAGGTCAAAGTCTAGAAATGGTGCTAGAAAATGTTATGGTTGTGGTAAAACAGGGCATTACATCAAAGACTGCTTTAAAAAGAAAAATGAGCAAAGAGAGGTTAAAGTTGATGAAGGAAATTTTGTTGAGCCTCTAGGTGAGGGTACTGTTGATGTTTATGTTGTGACTGAGTCCACATCTGATTTGAACTCTGCCAATTATGCAGATAATTCAAGTTAGAGTGTAGAGTGGATCTTAGATTCAGGTTGTACCTTTCATATGACCTCTAGAAAGCATTGGTTGCTTGACTTTAAGAACTTAGATGGAGGTGAGGTTGTTATGGGTAACAATGCAGCCTGTAAAGTGTTGGGGATAGGCAGTGTGACTTTAAAATTTGATAATGGGTACACCTTTACCTTAGAGAGGATAAGGTATGTACCAAATTTAAACAGAAATTTGATATCAGTTGGGAACTTAGATGACATAGGTCTCCAAGGAAAATTTGGAGATGGTTTCTTGAAAATAGTTAAAGGATCCTTAGTTATTTTCAAGGGTATTAAAAGAAATGGAATCTATGTCACTAAGGCTAGTATTTTGAGTCACACTGTAGAATCCTCTATGGCTGAGAGTGATGCTACTTTGAAATGGCATAATAGGTTAGCCCTTGTGAGTGAGAAAGGTTTACAAATCTTAAGTCAGAAGGGTGCCTTTGGTAGTGATGTGATTTCTAAAATTCCCTTTTGTGAATACTGTACCTTAGGCAAACAACATAGACTTCACTTTAGTACAGGAAAACATAAGACTGCATCTATCCTAGAGTATATACATTCTGATTTGTGGGGTCCATCATCCACCACCTCTCAAGGTGAGAATAGGTACTTCTTATCCTTAATTGATGATTTTTCAAGAAAAGTATGGGTATTTCTTTTGAAACAAAAAACAGACACTTTTGAAAAATTTAAAACTTGGAAGACTTTGGTTGAAAATCAAATGGATAAAAAGATAAAAATTCTAAGGACAGATAATGAATTAGAATTTTGTAATATTGATTTTGAAAAATTGTGTATGGATGATGGCATTCTAAGACATAAAACAGTACCATATACTCCACAACAGAATGGTATAGCTGAAAGGATGAATAGGACAATCCTAGATAAGGTTAGATGTATGATATTTAGTTCATGTGCCCCTAAGGTGTTGTGGGGGGGGGCTGTTATGATAGCACTTTATATCATAAATAGGACCCCAACTAGTGCATTAGATGGTAGGACACCTGAGGAAGTGTGGACAGGTAGGTTGGCTAACTATTCACACTTAAATACCTTTGGATGTGCAGCATATGCACACCAAAGTATAGGAAAACTTGAGCCTAGATCCTAGAAATGTGTTTTCATGGGATATCCTGAAGGAGTGAAGGGGTACATGCTTTGGGTGAGAGAAATTGGGGGTTTTAAGATGATAACCAATAGGAATGTGACCTTCAATGAAAGAGAGATGCCTTATTTAGATAAGAAGGCTTCTAGTGAGGAGCCTAAGTGCCAGGAAGAAGAGAATACTAGGCTGCAGATAGAACTTGAAACTTCACCTGATCTTACAGTTGAAAATCAAGAGGAAAATGAAACCGTGGAAGAATCAGGTGATGAAACAGTTGAAGGACCTACTGGTGAGTTAGTGAACCCTTTAAGTGATTATCAGTTAACTAGAGATAGGGTTAGAAGAGAAATAAGAGAGCATAAAGACTATTTGTCACTTGCTATGTTGTCATATCAGGATTTAACTTTTAAGGAGCCTAAATCCTATGAGGAGGCTATTAG